AGAAACATCAAGTCTTGAGTTTAATGAGCCCAAGTACACCGTATGTCGTGATTGCAAGCACTTAGTTTTATTTCATTTTCATCCCAAGGTTGGAGTACATGGTACCTGTAATGTGAAAAGAAGAGGATGAATTAACAAACTCTTAATAAGCTTACAACTAGGTTGTTAGGGCACTATAAGTTACAGGGGTACTCTCAGTAAGCTTACCTATGTGAGTATAGGAGGTGGTGCCGCTTCCTATGAGTCCAAGGGCTTGACTCTAGAGCGCTCATGAAACAGGATATAGACACAAGGCCAATCCACGTGTCGGTTTGTTTGAATACTTAAGGTAACATATACTGTGCGTGACATATGTCTGATTAGTTGTATAAGATCGCTAGTTCAAAGACAAGTCTACTAAGTCATCTTGACTATCTTTGAGGTGTCTTCACTAAGTCAATGATTCAAATCGTAAGATATCTTCACCTATGCATAAGGCTGCCAAGTGAACCAAGAATCATCATCTGATATTTTGAAAATGGTGGCGAAATGTTGGGGAATTTTCAAAATGGGCTTTCAAAATTTATAGTTTAATTTTTGGGTGTTTTCAAAACCTTCCTTGTTTTTCTTTGGAAAGCTTGAAATAAGCTTGGAGACTTTATCCCACATTAGAAAGAGAGAAAACCATAGAGCACTTAATAAAGTACCACATGAAATATTCCTTTGAATATGGAATTGTAATGTGAAAGCTAGTGTGCATGCACCCACACTGCAAGGATGGTGTCCGCACACGCATAAGCACACATGCGCACACGTGGCGTGGGCAATGTGGTGTTTGATGGCGCATTTTGCACTTAGCATGGACGCATCGGTGCAAGGCGCCATGAGGGCGCTTTCTTATTTGCATCAGACATGTTGGAGTGATGACGTGGATCCAACGTGGCATGGGTGATGTGGAATATAGTCAGCTCCACATAGAAGTGACGTGGCGTCCGTTGGCAATAAGTCAACCAACCGATCGAATGGTGCGTGTCCTATCTGGAGCGGTTTGATCATAGCCGTTGATTGGAGATGCGCATGATCATACGGATGAAATGGCACCCGATCGTGGTTAGCTGTGATCAGTCAAAGCAGCTATTCGGTGTGAGAATGATCTGCACCATAGATCGTCTATCCAACGGTCAGATCTGATCGGACGCAATCAAGGGCATAACCATTCGATCAGATCCATCAAGGCCTATAAATAGGCTGCGAAATCATTCATTTCATTCCATCCAAAAATTCAGATATCATTTCTACAATTCTCTCTCTCTCTCTCCCTCTTGATTTAGAGTTTTCGATCAAGAGTTTCTTAAGCAAGTTTCTGCTTTTCGTATTAGTAATCAAATTCTCCAGACTTGATTATCAATGTCTTGGTTTTCTTGATTATATCAAGAATATTCTGATCTCCTTTCGTCAATACAGACACCGGTAGACTTGATCTTTAGATCAGGCTTCATTGTATCCTGGAGGCGAATTTGCTATAATCCCCTGCACACCTTTGGTGGGTGCAAATATTATCTTTAGGAAAACGACTTAGTAACGTGACTTGAAGCATCATATTTTTGTTCTACATAGACAAGATCATCACCAAGTTTTGAAGACCCAAAGACCACTAATTAAAGAATTCAAGACGAATTGTTCCAACACATGGGTGCATTTGTTTGGACGGACTAGATAAGGGAAGATTGTAATCCATCGGACTATTAGTCCTGAGACTAAATTTGTATCATATGTTTGTTTAGTCATGTGATTATATGTCTGGATTGGACTATTTTTAGTTATCCAATGTTTGTTTGGGATATTATGGAGAATGATAAATGCTCAAATGACTATTTTATCCTTTTCAATTATTTACTAAATAATAACAATATTAAACATAGCTTTAATATTTTAATTATTTTTTGCTAGATTAAATAAAAATTTGTTTTATTTTATTTTTTGCACAATATTTTAATTATTTTAATTTATTATTTTCAATTAAATTAAATTTATAATTTATAATTTTTATTTAATATATAATTTTAAATTAACAACAATAAAAAAATAATTTTATTTAATATATAAATTAAATTTTCAACAACACTAAAAAAATTTTAATTTATAAGACCATAATTTTTAATTAATTATTTTCAATTAAATTAAACTTATAATTTATATTTTTTATTTAATATATAATTTTAAACTAACAACACTAAAAAAAATAATTTTGTTTAATATATAAATTTAATTTTTTAACAACACTAAAAAATCTAATTTATAAGGCCATAATTTATAATTTATTGTTTTTAATTAAATTTATAATTTATATTTTTTATTTTTTATTTAATATAGAATTTTAAATTAACAACACTATAAAAAGATATTAAATAAAAGAGGGTCAAAAATATAATTTCATAAGCTAATCACATGGGATTAGTTATCCTATTATTTTTATCCCACCCCCTCCCATGGGATACAAAAATCCAACAAATATGGGACTAATAGTCTAGAGCAAAAATTGACTACCAAACAATGGACTAACAGTTTATCCGGACTAATAGTCCAATCACATGCCCTAATCCTTCAAAACAAACACAACCTAAAATTACATTAAAACTTCTGTTGGCAAAATCTTCAGCAAGCCCAGCTTCAAGTATACCTTATCAATTCCAGCCATGTCTAAGGGTCGAGAATTTTACGACTCATTTGGAAATCTGCATTACAGTAATACCCAAACAAGAAAGCCTTCCCCAACTGCACATCTAATTGGGCATGATGATTTGATTGATGGAAGCCTTTTTTTTTTTTTTTTTTTTTTTTTTTTTTTTTAAATCCAACCGTAAAAAGATTTTTAAAAAATCCCCCTAAGATCTACTACAGGGGAAAAAAAATACAAAATAGAACTGTGAAAACACTCCACAAATTTGATAACATAATGAACAGGAAAATTTGAAAAAGAAATTTGAGTACTATGGTACCAGTGCTCCTGCTTTTCGTGCCATTCTTTTAGCCCTCTTGTCCATTTTCTCTACATACACTTTCCTATTCTTTTGAGTATCCTTCTCCCTTCGCATGTACTTATTTCCAAGGTAAAGATAATAATCCATTATAATCAATCAAGATTAACCAAAAAAAAAAAAAAAAAGAAAGAAAAGAAAAAAAAGAAGAAGAGACTCGACCCCTCAATGCAACTCTATTTTCTGTAACACTAATGAAAACCTTCCCAGAAATTACAATATACCACCCAATCTTTGGGCCGGGCGCTGCCACAAATCCCGGGAAAAGGCTTAGGAGAGTCTTCATTGGTCCTTTTATGGAGGTACAGGTAAATACAAGACACCTCAATGTCAATCTAAAACCTTGACACATCAGAGTAGCTATCAACAAACCCATTTTGGGTGCGTGTCTTTTGGAAGATTAGGGGTGAGATTAGACTATTAGTCTTTATGAATTAATAGTTTATTATTTATTTATTTATTTTTTTTTAGATTAATAGTTTTTCAGATTATTAGTGTTATAAAATACGAGATTATCCTATCTTATAGGAGGGGATGTGATAAAAATTATGGGATTAATATTTTATGAGATTATTTTGTGAATATTTATTTTACCCTTCATGTTATTACTTAGTAAACAATTAGAAATAATAAAATAGTCTTTTGAACATTTATAAATTATTTTTTTAGTATTGTTAATTTAAAATTATATATTAAATAAAAAATTTTAATTATTAAATTATAAATTAAATTTAATTAAAAATAATAAATTATAAATTATGGCCTTATAAATTAAATTTTTTTTAGTGTTGTTAAAAAATTAAATTTACATATTAAATTAAATTATTTTTTTAGTGTTGTTAAGTTAAAATTATATATTAAATAAAAATATAAATTATAAATTAAATTTATTTAAAAATAATAAATTATAAATTATGGCCTTATAAATTAAATTTTTTCAGTGTTGTTGAAAATTTAATTTATATATTAAATAAAATTATTTTTTATTGTTGTTAATTTAAAATTATATATTAAATAAAAATTATAAATTATAAGTTTAATTTAATTGAAAATAATAAATTAAAATAATTAAAATATTGTGCAAAAAATAAAATAAAACAAATTTTTATTTAATCTAGCAAAAAATAATTAAAAATATTAAAACTATGTTTAATATGTTATTATTTAGTAAATAATTGAAAATGATAAAATAGTCATTTGAGTATTTATCCTTCTCCATAATATCCCAAACAAACATTGGATAACTAAAAATAGTCCAATCCAGACATCTAATCACATGACTAAACAAAACATATGATACAAATTTAGTCCCAGGACTAATAGTCTCGGGACATGTATCCAGGACTAATAGTCCGATGGATTACAATCTCCCCTTATCTAGTCCGTTCACAACAAACGCACCATGTGTTGGAACAATTCGTCTTGAATTCTTTAATTAGTGGTCTTTGGGTTCAAAAACTTGGTGATGATCTTGTCTATGTAGAACAAAAAATATGATGCTTCAAGTCACGTT